TCAACTGAATATAAGTTTATTATGCCAAAGAACTCAGAACGTCTGCTGCAGAATATGTGATAGACCTTCGTGCATTTTCATGACCTCCTCGTCCACCTCCACGTGTTCTCACACCACGTCCCCCACGCTGCCTCACACCCAGCGCTCCACGACCTCGGGCAGTAGGACGATCACCACGTGCATGTTGTACTGGCTCAACGTCTTTCACCGCCCATGCAGGTGCATTTTTCGGAGCCTTTTTGTTAGATACGCCTAATTTAGTTCTTCTTGTGCGGTCTTTGGCGTACTCCTTTTTCGTTTCCTTCAACCGATCGTCCAAAGTTCGGAAGAACTGGGTTAGTTCATCTGACCTCCACGGCAACTCCATGTGTCGCCAACCTTCCCCTTCTGACTCGTCTTCATCCTTAGATATGTACTCGACTGTTAGGGTCGGAGCATACTTTTTTTGTTCCTCGTTGGTCACAACTTTCAACCTTCTTTCTAATAGCTATATAATTATCAACAAAAGTTAGCATCTAATGGGCTGAAATGACAATGGCTTAATTTTGGCGTGTGTCTTCGTTGAAGCGAATATAACATCATTAGATTATATGGTAAAATTTAATCAACTGCTGCAATTGCTACAGTCCTGGCAAAAATTATCGTTGACACCGCGTGCGTTAAGAAATATATGTATTTCTACAGAATTAACCGCCAAGAAAATTTCTCCCCCTCCCACACCCAATTCAATGTTGGTAAATGAAACTGTTAAAATTTAAATGCGAAAAACAACATTGAATAGGGGGCAAGGGGCAACAAATTTCATGAAAGAACGTCTCAATGTTAATTGGCGTTAGAAAACTTGGGTGTGTCCACATAATTCTTGTCAGGATTGTAAGTCTATTTTACTAGCTACATACCCTCTCTCTCCTGCTACGCATGCACATTTTCTTTTTTTTCCTTGGCGTGACAGGATTTCGCGCTAATTTTTTTCTAGATTGAAAGTGAATCTTGACTGCCTCTGAAAAAAAAATATAGTACTTCACATAGACATTTTTTTCTCCTTCATTCTTATCACCATTCTTGGGAAGAATTTATGCAAATCTTTTAAAGTAAGTTTATTATTTTGATTATTTTACACTTCTTACAGACAGTAGTTGAGCCCCCTGTATTTTTACACGAAGAAAAAGGTGATATTATTACGTTTAGCAGGTTGCGCAGCTCCGCGGTCTGCAGTTCCGTTAATTAGTGATACTCCAAATATATCGAAATGCACTAAGTACTCTTAGAAACACGTAAGGAGTGTTCTATCATATTTAAAATGCGAGGCGCGGCCCAGCGTTTTAGATATGATAAAAAGCGAGTTCGCAGGTTTTCAATAGCTTAAAATACGACTACAAAATAATATTAATTAGAATGAACAATTTTATAATCATACTAATAAGAGCAAATAATTATATAAACAATAATAATGAATACGAGTTTTAGGATATTTATTTTTTTTACGATATAAATAAAGTCACTACACATGACATATTATGACTGACATGATTTGCCACAAGGTTTATGAATTTTTAATCAGTATTTGATAATATTAAATACGATAGTTTATAGACCCTTTTCATAAATGGCTACCGATTAAATATTCTTTTATGTGCATATAAATTGGCCCAACTAGCCTCGTACTCATGTTAAGATTTCAAAGGAATTTCTACCCAGAAACGAGGCTAGTTGGGCCAATTTATATGCACATAAAAGAATTTTTAATCGGCAGCCATTTATGAAAAGGGTCTATGCAAAGGGTCAGCCTGTGTGCATTCAGACGAAACATCAGGACACGAGCCAGACGTTCCCATTACATTTAGTTATTTTTAGAAAAAATAGTAGAAATATATACACATGTACTGATAATATTAAATACGATAGTTTAT